CCAAAGGGTTGACCCAGTTATCATAGTACTGTCATTAATTTGCAAAATAGTCATGGGTAGGATGACCAACTTGTACTGGTTTGCCTGGCTTTCCTGGTTTGGGCACTAAAGTCCCACATCTGGGAAATCCCTCAGTCCTAGGCAAACCAGGATGGTTGTTCACCCTCTTCATAGGAGAGATCAATACAGGCATTCTCATTTCACAAATGAGGCGACCCCAAGAAACATGATGGTTGTCATGAAGGATTTACTGCACTTCAGTAGCCTCCCTGAGCCAAGACTGAAATACGCAATTTGCCTAGCCCTAGGCTCAGAGCTCTCTGCCCCTAACCTCCACCAAGGCATTGGCATGGAATGTTACTCATGCATTAACTATCCCACTTCCTTCTTGTTATGTACTGAATGTGTCCAGCCCCAAATACATATGTTGAAGCCCTAACTCTCAATTTGGTAGTGTTTGGAGGTGGACCTTTAGAGGTGGTTAAGGTTAGATTAGGTAATGTAGGTGAAGTCCCCATGATGGGATTAGTGTCCTTACAGAGAAATGACCATACTGGAGCTCACTCTATTGTCTGAGCCATGTGAGGATACAACAAGAAGGCAGCCAGCCACCTATGAACCAAGAGGAGGACCCTCATCAAGAACCTGACCATGCCAGCATCCAGAACCATAAGAAATAAATGTTTGTTATTTAAGCTACCCAGTCTATGGTATTCTGCTATAGCAGCCTAACTTACTAAGACATTTCTCAATGCCTCAAACACAAAAGCCAAGGGCACTATTAAGAGAACAAGGGTATGCATATCTGAAAAGCCACCAAGGATCTGAAAGATGTCACTTTACAGAAGCAACGTGTGCCATTCCATCATTACAATGGTGGAGTTGGTAGGTATGCCCAGGCCAAATGGTGGGGCAGGCAGGACACAGGGTAAGTGGGCCAAAAAGAGTGCTAAATTTTTGTTGCACATGATTAAAAATGCAGAGAATAATGCTGAACTTAAGGGTTTAGATGCAGATTCTCTGGTCATTGAGCATATCCAGGTGAACAAAGCTCCCAAAATGGGGTGCAGAATTTACAGAGCTCATGAATGGATTAACCCACATATGAGCTCTCCCTGCCACAATGAGATTACTAAAAAGAGCATATTGTTCATAAACCAAAGAGTAGGTTACACAGAAGAAAAAGATACCCCAGGTGAAACTAAAGAAACAAAAAACGTATGGCCCCAGGGGTAAATGCAGCATAAAATAGATGCTAATAAAAGCAAAAAGCAGGGAGGGGGGGAGGGAAGGGGAGAAGGGGTGAGGGGAGAGGGGGAGAGCCTCAGGGAACCTGAAAGAACTACAAGTCTGGCAAGGCTGGCATGGCTCAGCAGTTGAGCATCGACCTACGATCCAGGAGGTCACAGTTAGATTCCTGGTCAGGGCATGTGTCCAGGTTGCAAGCTTGATCCCCTGTGGAGGCCATGCAGAAGGCAGCTGATCAATGACTTTCTCATCATTGATGTTTCTATCTCTTTCTCTCCCTTTCCCTTCCTCTCTCTGAAATCAATAAAGGTATATTTTTAAAATAAAATAATAATATAAAATAAAATATAGAACTACAAGTCTGGGCTGAACATAGTTCTATTGCTACTGAATTCTCACTGTCTCCAAGGTAGAAAACTGCACAAGTGAGGACACAAAGTGTAAACCCTTAACAAGCCAGGAAAATTCTGAGAGATTCTTCACATGTGTCCTGAGCAGCTTGAATCTTTTAGAGGTTTCTGTCCCAAAGACAAACTCGATTGTTGTTGATGCTAGGTATCAGAGGTTACCCAAAGCCCAGGCTGAATAGCAACAGGCTGTTCTCCTCCCCTACTCAGTAGTGAAACCATTGGTAAAAATAAAGAAAGAAAAGGGCAGGATATTCCCTTAGACCACATGTAATTAAAATAAGAAGCTCTATGCTGTGGAAGACTAAGTCTTGAAGCTTAAAACCCACTCAGAGAAAGATAAAGTATTCATCCTCGCTCAGAAAGAAAAAGATTAGCTCCACAAGGACATGTCTCCAAATTAACACCAAATCCAAGAGTTAGAGAGGCCTGTGCTACAGAGCGTGATCTGAGGCCCCAGAGAAAAATCCCCAGGAATACATGAGCAAGGGGATGGCATTGTAAAAATGTTCTGATGAGCTCTCCTGAAAAGAGGCTTACTCCAAGACACTGGCAGACAGCCTCTGCAGCAAAGCTTCACTTAGGAAAGGATAGAAAATAATGAAGGGGGAAAAAACGCAAGAGGCTAGACGAGAAGAGCATGAATCCACAAACATAATAAAAAGAGAATTGGAAGGTACCAGCTATTTGGAAAAAGATAAAATTTGCCTTAACAGATTGTCATTTTTTAATATTCTCATTAATAGCAAATCTTCATTCTTTGATGGTGAAAAGTTATTGCATTCCTATGTCCCAGGAGCTTTCATGTATATTACTTCATTTAACCAAAGTATTTATTTGTTTGTTTTATTTTGACAGTACATTTATTAAAGCTGGGGACAGTGAAACAAGGAAGGGCTTAGGATAGAAGAAGCAACAGGTGAGAGCCTAGGCGGGGCTGCTTTGGCTCTCTAGAAACATTATGGGAAAGAAGTGGGCAAAGGTGAGGCTGCTGTCAGCTCACTGGAGAGTCAGAGAAAAGGGGACCTTGGAGACAGGTTCAGGGGATTAGACAGGAATGAGCTGCCACTGCCCATTGCTCCCCTGGCTGCAAGTCTCATAGGGACTCTTAGAGTTTAGGAGAAAGAAAATTCACTTGAAAAGGAGATTCGAGGAAGTGTGCCCCAAGGAGGGCACACCATCACTCTCCAAAATTATTCCCACTTTTATGCAGTGGAAAACCAAATACAAGAGGTGAAATAACTTGCTCAAGGTCCTATGGCTAATAAATGATAGCCTCAGAATCAAAACTTGTCTACAGCCCAGCCAGCATGGCTCAGCGGTTGAGCATCCACCTATGATCCAGGAGATCACGGTTTGATTCCCAATCAGGGTACATGCCCAGTTCGATCCCCAGGGTGGGGGGCAGGAGGCAGCCAGTCAACGACTCTCTCTCATCACTGATGTTTTCTATCTCTCCCTCCCTCTCCTTTTATCTCTCTCTGAAACCAATGAAAATATATTTTTAAAAACAACAACAACAACAACAACTTGTCTACAAATAAGTTAGGTAACAAGGTTTCTTAACCATGTCATTTGAGTTAAAATATACCAATACATACTTTTTTTAAATACAGTATGGTGTCAAGTATTAATGTCTCTGCAGACAATTTTAGAAGTGGATTTTCAAAACTGCTTTGGATAATGGCCATATCACATAAGTGATGCCACCCTCAACCCCCACCACCCACACCTACACATACCACTCTACAGGAGAACACCACTTATCAAAGGATTAGGTTCTGGCATATTTATTTTAAAACCATCTTGTTACTTTTCAGTTTCACTTAATTTTTTGGAGCCAATGATACACACCAGGCCTCAGTTGGATTCTGCAAAGAAGCAAGTAATAGCTGGCCTTCAAAGACAGCAGAAAGGAGGCAAAAAAGCAAGACTCAGAGTACAAGGCAACTTTTCATTCCTGGGCTACCTTATTCCTACTAACATAATGCCTATTCCCACCATCTGTAAAAATGAGACCAGTCTTTTCTGTAGCCAATTTCATCAGAACAACACATGTTGTTAGCAGGTTAAATTCATTAAACACTCAGAAGAAAGGTTAAAATCAATCTGATGTGGCAACACCTTCTTTAAAAGCCTAAGGGCCACGTTCTCAGCTGAAATCATAGACCAAGTCCTGATCCGTGTTACACAAACATCAATCCTGATATCCTTATGCCCCGGCTCCCAGCAAAATCCTATTCAATCCCCAAATATGACTATATTTTAATCAAAAAAGAAAAAAGCTTGAGTAGGGTGAAAGCTAAAAAGACACACAGATACATCTTTTGCACTGTGAAAACAAACACTGTTAGTGTTTATAAAAACATCAGTTTCTTCTGTTAGCAAACATGGAGGATTCATTCTCCTCCTGCCCACCTAGTCTGGTTTGATATAGTCCCCCAAAACCCAAACCAGTTTACAGTTTTAATTGAGCTCAGAAAGCCGGCTGCGCTTGATTGAAGCCAGGCACTGAAAAATACTTATTAGAAAACTGTATGCGTCCTCAATGTATTTTTTTAAAGGCATCACACCGCCCTCCAGCTCCTACGGTGCAAAGGAAGCCCCCACTGGCCTCTCAGGTGTAGGGCATTTTCTGACTCCTGGTCTTTCCCACCTGAAGCCACATTACAGGAGCTCACATATCAACTGATTCTCTCCTGTCTTCTGAAACAGAGAATCTCAAAGCGAGGGTTTCGGGACCACCTGAATCAGAACCACCTGGGGAGGACTGCAGGTGTCCAAGCTCCACCTGAGTAGAGACCAGGGCTATGCATAGCCCCCAAAGTGATTTGAGACACACCAGTCTGTAACCCCTACTTTAAAAGCAAGTCATCCTCTACCAGGACAAAGAAAAGACAAGACAGGAGTGGAAATACCACGGGGGTAGGGCGTAATTCCATATGGTGAAGAGACAACAGAGGTCTCAACCAAGAACCAGTGTCAACACTGGAGCAGTTAGACAGATGCACAAACTGAGGCCGGGAGAAGGGAACCGGGAGGAAAACTAAAACAGACGCGGAGCCAAAAGCCAGTCTCAGACCCCCACTGCCTCATCTCCTGACATTTAAGAAGGGTTACTAGAGACGTTCTGAATGGGAAAGGTAGAGAAAGCGGCCGTTGGGCTGACAGGCCTGGGGACACTACGCAGGAGCGCAGCGCCCACTTGGAAGCCCGCTTTGGGGACACTGGGGAGGAAGTGTGGAGACCCCAGAACAGTGCTGGGAAGGCGCCGGGGCCGCTGGCGGGAGGAGGCCCTGAGCCCCCCGCCCGGGTCCAGGGCCGGGCGGCCCTCACCGCCCCTACCTTCGGCTTCCCGCCTAGCAGCCGAGGGGTAGACACAATCCCCACAATTCCAGGCGGCCGCAGCGGCAACCAGCTTCCGATGCGCAGACGCGGCGGCGACCCTCTTAAACCGTGAGCGCGCGGCTATTACGTTGCTCGTCGCCTCATCCAATTGCCACCTTACAGAGAGGCAAGCCGTGGCCACACTGAAGCTGGTGGAACTGGACTTGTTAGCCCCGCCTCTTCCGGTTTTCTGTAAAGTTCCGCCCTCTAGCGTCATCCCCTTGTATCCCTCCGCCGAAATGAGGGAAGACTGGGAAAGGTGCCTGCGGCCCTGGTTTTGCTTTTAAGTTAAACCAAAATGGAACTTCCAGGTTTCTTCGTGATTGCCTAACAGCCTAATTTCTTTCTAGGGGAAGGATCCTCAAAAAGAAACTAGAGCCCAGCTGGAGTGGCTCAGTGGTTGAGCATGGACCTATGATCCACGAGATCACCCTGCGATTCCTGGTCAGGCACATGCCCCTTGGGGACTTGATCCCCAGGAGGGGGCGTGCAGGAGGCAGCCGATAAATGACTCTTCATCATTGATGTTTCTCTCTCCCTTCCTCTCTCTGAAATCAATAGATATATTTAAAAAAGAAAGAAAGAAATGAGGGTGTGGGGAGTAAAATTAATCAAGCTGTTGTGTCTTAGTTTGGGATAAAGAGTCTCAAACAATAAATAGTCGTTTGAAAATTCATGCAGAATAGGTCACCTGCAAGTCACCTACTTTATATATTTGTGTATTGTGTGAATTTGACAATGACCAAATATTTTAAAAATGGAAGTCACCTGCACCTCTAATCTGCTATACCACTGACTAGCTGTTATTTTATAGATGACAGCTGCTTGCATATACATTGTATCTACTTCTGTAACTTTCTAAGATCATAATTGTCATCCCCTTTTTATAGATCTGGAAGCTGAGGCACAAAGAGGCTAAAGGATTTATACAAGGTCAGAAAGTCAGAAAGTGGTAGAACTAGAAATTCAAGCCAGATTTGGGTGCCTCCAAAAGCCCTGTTCTCTTTTCATACTATTCTGTGAGGCCTGCCCCTTGCCTCCCTTGACCAATAAAATGGGGTGCTCCCTCAGGCCCTCAGAGTGCAGATAGTGATACCTGATCATTCAGGAGTGGAGAAAAGTATCATCCAAACAAGCAGTGACCTCCTCCAAACAGCAGGTATTCCCCAAGAGCAAGCAAACAACCTGTCTGGAGTTCCTTTCCCTTTTCTATGTATTAAGTGAGATTCTAGGGGTTATTTTCTTAATTATGTTTACTTCAACCAGGTGGGAAATTGACTTTGCAGCCACTGAACAAACCTTGATTAGTAGCCTGGGGAGGGAGAACAACAAGCCCCTCACAATAGTTGAATGAGTATTGCCAGTTTATTAGGAAGGTCTAGATAGGACACTTTCCTGGGACTGAGAAAGGACAGAAAACAGCTCACTTTTCCTATGGAACACTCAAGAGACCAGCAAGCATAGTTGGACCCAGGAATAATTCTAGCTTGTGTCATTGCCTAGTACCAAAAGGACAGATAATAAAAGTTTAGCAAATATCTATCGCATCAGTTATAAATTACAGAATGAACATGTAAATTACAATCAAGCCTGACAAAAGTTATAAAGTGCTACAAGAGTAATGCTTAAAAATAGAATAAGTTCTAATCTTAGAATGAATAAATAAATGTATGGGCCAAGAGAAGACTCCAGCTGGACACAGAACTGCCAGCGCTCACCAGCCTGGCTTCCATCTTGGGACAGATCTAACTGGCTCAAGTGTGTGGGGAAGGGAAATTCTGTGTCCCCTAGTCCCCAAACCTTGAAAAGCCCTGACTGAGAACCTTCCCAGGGAAACTAACTCTGAGCTCAAGTCTTCTAAGCTGCTGAAACCAGTGTGTAGGGCCAAAACTAGGCAGATAGCCCAAACAAGGAGGACCACTGTAAAAGGTGGGAAATTTGAAGTCTAGAGACCATTGTAGGTGGGTGAGTAGAGTCACTGTAGTCTCTTTTGTTTGTTTCCCTGTATTACTCTTGGAATTGAGCAGAAATAAGTTTAAATTTTCCTTTTAAATAAGGAAACAAACAACCAGGTCTCCCTTGCAGCTCTGTTGGAGATCTTCCAAGCTCCCTTTTCCCCTCCCCAGAAGAGCAAAAGCTTGTTAGGGTAAAGAGCCTAAGGAATCACCTACAACCTGACCACCATCAATCAAATGAAATGACAGCACCTGGCCAGGCAGAGCTTTTTATACGATCAATCTGGCCTTCTTCAACAAGCAAAATGTGTTGAGTAGGTCATTTCTCCTCTGATCAGCCTTTCTCCATGAATTTCCCACAAGCCTGATATCCAGTTCGGTGGAAGCATTCTCGGCATCAGGAATTGGCTCCCTGCTCTCTCTGGGTGGGCCTGGAATCTAAAGTGTGGGGAACAGGATCCCTAGCCCTCTGCCCCACCATATTATCCTGCCTTCTTCTCTCTGCTCCAACTCCTCTGTGCCCTGCCAGCTTTCATCATACACTTTAAATCCTGCTGCCAGGAATCCCTTCTGGACTCCAGATATTTTGTTCTCTCAAACATTAGTACCAAGTCACATGCCAGCTAGTGGCTGTGGGAATTCAGGTGTGAAACAGTCCCACCAGGAACTCTATTGGTTCATGGAGTCACAAAGGTCTGTTCATATTTAGAGAGAAGGAAACAGAGCCTACCTCATGACAGGAGGAGTGTAAGTGCCATATTGTAAAAAGAACATGTGAGATGGGGTATATCAAGGATGCCACCTCTGGAAAATACAGTTGGCCACAAGCCCCACACCCTGGCACAAGAGTTCAGGGTCTGACGAGAGACACAGAAATGTAAACAAATCAGAACAGCAAAGTAAGGGCTGTAAAACAAATATTAGCAAAGAGCTATAAGAATAAGCCCACTCAGTTCACATTGCTGTCTCCCTTATGTGAGTAAAACTCTTTCACATTCATCATCTTATTTGCTCCAGACAGCCCTGTGAGGCAGCTGATTATATCTCCATTTAAAGATAAAACAAAAATTCTTCTCTCTGAACCCTTCAGAGCTGTATTGTCCAATACAATAGCCAATAGCCACATGCAGTATTTTGATTTAAATTAATTAAAATTAAATAAAATTTAAAATTCAGTTTTTCAGTCACACTACCCACATTTAAAGTGCTCTATAGCCATCTACCATATTGAATGGGTATATTGTAGAACATTTCCATCATTCAGTGTAGAAAACTCTATTTATTTAGAGTTTGAGCAGGGCTTGGCTGGGAAGAATTGATTCTGCTCCATCTACTGTTGGCTGAGGTGACTCGACTAAGGCAAGATGCTCACTAGTATGGCTGGCAGTTGATGCTGGCTGTTGGTTGGGATCTCAGCTGGTGCAGTCAGCCAGGACACTGACAAGTGGCCTCTTCCAGTAGCTGCTTGGCCTCCTCACAACTTGGTGGCTGGTTTCCAAGAATGATCATCACAAAAGAACAATATGTAAAAATGCATGATATTTGTATGACCTAACCTTAGAAGTCACATAGTGTCATTCTGTCATATTCTATTGGTTCATGGAGTCTCAAAGATCTGTTCATATTTAGAGAGAAGGAAACAGAGCCCACCTCATGATAGGAGGAGTGTCAGTGCCATATTGTAAAAAGAACATGTGAGATGGGATATATCATGGACACCACCTCTGGAAAATACAGTTGGCCACAAGCCCCACACCCTGGCACAAACACCCACACTCATGCACACAACTTACACATCCAGACTCATACACCCAGTACCCAGACATGTTTACACATGTACATAAATTAAAACATCCTGCGTTCACATACGTGAGCACTGCCATACAGTAATATGTTCATTACCACAGATATGTTACTTACATAATTATGCAGTTAGGCAAGTCTAGTGAAACATGCAAATATACACATATAGCGTAGCCTTGAAAACCAATCAGAGATCCTAAGGAAACCAGACTGGGGACAGATGAAATATAACATAGATGTCAGCTGTCCCCTCACCCTGCTCTATTTCCCCATCAAGAGCCCATACCTGAAAAAGCATCAGTGTTAAATGTCGAATTTACTGAAGGTATTGTAGCGGTGATGGAGGAGAAGTGTTAAAACCACACATCCCGCCCTAGGTGGGTGGTTCAGTAGGTTGGAGCTTCGTCCCATACACCAAAAGGTTGCAGGTTCAATTCCTGGTCAGGGAACATACCTAGGTTTCGGGTTTGATCCCCAGTTGGGTCTGGTGCCGGAGGCAATCGATCATTGTTTCTCTCTCACATCAATGTTTCTCTCTCTCCCTTCCTCTCTCTAAAAACATAAATCCTCAGATGAGGAATAAATAAATAAATAAATAAATAAATAAATAAATAAATAAATAAAACAAACCACACATCCCACAGCAGACAACTTGAATGCCTACTTAAGCAGTTCTTTCCCCCCAAGTCCCTGTCCCACCTATATCACCGCCGTGGACCATTTTTTTATCCTTTCTTTCCCTTGCACAGCACCTAGCCGGCTAGTTCACATCTCCTTTTCCTGGCTTTTCCCCTCAAGCTTCCAAATTCCTCATCCCCTCATCATACAGAGCAGTTCAGGTTTGCCCAGACCTGATGTAAAGACAGAGAGGCAGGGACTGGAGCTGGAACCCAGGTGACCAGTCTGAAGACAGACTACTCTCTCATCTCTCCTCCCGGACTCCTTTTCTCACTCTTGTTGCCTGCATCAAGCCAACATGTCTGACTGGCTGAGACAGTTTAACTCTACATCCCAAATTTGGAGCAAGCCAGGTTGACTTGAATAGTTCATTGCAATCTCTACCCCCATGCACACATCTGGGAGAGCCCTAAGAACCAGGCCACTGCAGGGCTGTCTATGGCCCTCTCTCTGGTCCAATCTGTGCCTACCCCTACACAAGGGTCAGGGCATGGTAGGTACAGTGACTGACCATGCCAGCACAGTCCTGGGTCAACAAGCCTCTGACACTGTCCTTAATAAAGGTTCCCAAGCACAAAAGCTTTGGGAAATCAGATGTGGAAAATAAGGCTTGTCATACAGCATGTCTCAGAACATTAGA